GGTTCTCTGCAGGCTGAGTTTAAGGTGAAAACTCAGCCGTTGATGATGGTGATTACTTGAGCAGCGCAAGAGTCTCCGGTACTTTGTTGCCGGAGCCATTTTCCCGTGCCATTCCTCTCTCACCTTCTGTTACCAGAAACGTATTCTTCCCCAACTGTAAGAAAGTTTCTTACATTATTTTTTTACAGCTACTAAAACATTATAACAAGAAATTAATCCTATATTGTCAAACGATTTTTTGTTTTCTTTTTAAAAATTCCATTAGTTAAAACTACTATTCAACTAAATAGTAACAAGAAATTTGGATTTTGAAAGCATTTTTATCACAGATTTTAAGATTTAGCTTCTAGAATCATATATCAGAGATGTTTTTGTCACCTGGCTATGGCTAGCCAGAATCTGGTTCTCTTCTCTCAGCAACATCTCCTGTTTGGACAAGATCAAAAGGTCATTAGTTTCTAATAAGTTCTGAAGCTATCTGAGCATGATCCTCATCCAAATGGGTAATTCATCCAGGGAGAAAAGTCGAATTTGATCACGAGCTAATAAGTGCCTTTTTTGGTTCTAATTAGGGTTTCATCTAAAATAAAGCCAAGAATAAATCAGGAACAGCTCGAGACTTGGTTAAAGGATCAGCATACCCTACAATATGGCTTTGCCAGCAGATAAAAACCAAAGCACTAACCGTTTCTTGAAGGGACTTCACTTCCTCCATCATTAGTTCTGTCTACAACAAGACATTACGGATTATGTCAAGACAACTCTTGTCAATCTAACTAAACAAAGGATTTTTGGGAAGGTTGGTTTGATCACTTAGTTAGCAGTATAGCTACCTTCTTAGCTCTAATTACGGACAGAGTAGTCTCGAGCTGTTCCTCCATAGAAATTAGAGAATCTACACTTACAGTATCGACATTTGGTTCTTCAAGCTTGCTATATTCATAAGTCGCCAAAAAAAAGAAATATTTTTCATCAGAAGAAGAGGGAGATTAAGGTGTCTTAGTGCTAACCTTTGAACTATTTCTAGTATCTCCTTGTGTGGAAGATAATTCCGAATTTTTTCTGCAAGATCCTGAACATGGAGAAAACGAAGGGAATGGTCAGAAAGATTATGAAAGTTCTTGAGTTTTCCGAAAAATGCAATAACTATAACTTTAGAGAATTAAGTCCAGTATTAGAAATTCAGAACATATCTCAGGCCCGACAAGTACTTCTATCCCATCAAAAACCGCATCCAGAAGAATTTTTAATGATGTTCGTAGCTAACTTACTAAGGCTTTAAGTTCATCAGCCTGATGTATTTCATAACGATCAATGATCTTTGACATGCTGGAGATATCATGAGCAAAAACAAATTCATTAGAAACAATAATATACACAAAACTATTTATTCAAAACTATATATGAATTAGATATAGTATCAGTTGAGGAATTTATACAGGGAATAAACTGGAGTGAACGAACGCTTATAGATAATGGTACATATTGCATCAATTTGTGTCCCTGACCAATACTTTTTTGTTAATCAACTTTACTTAAGCATGAATCTACATATAAGAAAATGTTAAGGGTGTGCAGCTTAAAATAAAAACCACTGTAGATGTGTTTACAAATACTTTCCTTTTTTGTTACTCTATTTTTGCATAGACTAATTTTGTTTCACTTTTCCATTCAATTTCATATCAATCATATGTAATTATATGATTATGACTATTCAATCCAAGTTCAACCTAGCTAGTATCGAAACAATCACACATAGAGTCGACCGAATCAGGAGGGGAATGGAAACTATATGATATCAGGATTATCCTTAGAGGACAAGCAAAGAAAATGGGTTTGGCTTTCTGGGAAGATCACAGGACAAGCAAAGAAAATGGGTTTGGCTTTCTGGGAAGATCACAACTCTTAATTGGTGCTGTCCATGATATCTATATATATATATATTAATGCAATAATATGAATATATGTTGCCTTACAATGCACTTTTAATAAGTTATTAGTAACATCTTAAGTTGTGAATTTAACATTAATCACCAAAAGAAGAAAACCTAAAAAGTGCGCATAAGAATCAATCTCAAGGCCATGAGAAGAGTTTGACAATTGTAAAATGGAGGCAAATAGAAAAGGATCCTAATAATTATATATAGAGTATGTGCATTGTCACAACTATAACATATATACTTTCATGACCAAGCTTTTCTGATGTTAACATCAATGCCATGAGAAGAAGCTACATATTACATTTCCATTTTCTAGATGACATATTTTTCTTATCCAATTGACGATGTTTTGTAAATATTATATACGAAACACACCGTCAGTATTAATTTGTCAATGTAGTTTCGTTTTGGTTCATTGAACTTGCATTCGAAATGTTCTAAAAGTAGTAGTAGTTGAGATTTCTTCTAGATAGACGAATGTCAAAAGGTCATGTTGTTAGGAATATCCACAAACCAACGTTAGAAGAACATTAAATTCATTGAAGAAATGATAATAGTCTACTAGTTTCACCCTATCGGTAGAAATCGATGATCAATATCTACTTAACAAAATCCACTACGCAGCTGCGACATATATATAAGGTGGCCGTAGATTATCCAAGCACTACAATCAACCTTCAAAATCAACTATAGACTTTGAAAGGTACTTAATCGACAAATCAATAGAAGAGAAATTAAAGACAAACCGTCTAGACTACAATACATACCGGATCAGTAATTCCACAATGTAATTTGAACGAAAGACTCTTGGTCTATGTTACCATTAACCCCAATTACTCTCTCAACAAATCCACAGGAGGTGCATTGCGATATTGGATACAAACCAAATCTCAAACTTTAACAATAGACACATTGATTCTTAAAAGAAAAAAATGAATCTTGAAAGTGAACAACAGATGAATTGGCGATACAAAAATTACTTGAACAACATTGAGAATGTATCACCACGTGTAGAAAAGATTCTTGAATCGCATGCAATATTGAATTTTGTATAAATTAAAGGTAAGGTTAAAAATCATCCAAATCCTTATTTTCAAAAAAAAAAAAAAAAAAAAAAAGCACGAAACGAACACCAAGAACATATCCTGGCCACCACAAAGTTTAATCTCAAATTAGGTTTGAGCTAACGCATCGGCTATCTTCATACAGAACAAAAAAAAGGAGGAGATCTCAGTTGATTTGAAGGAAACAAAAAAGCCCTAGATTTGAAGTTTCTATAAGAGAGCAAAAAAAAGCACAAAAATAGAGTGAGACAGGTAGGGGAAAATAGCTTACTTGTCACCGGAGGCAGCGTTGTAGAGTTTTCCAGAGCCAGAGACGGCGAGAACAGCGATGGAAGATTCACAGAGAATTGAAAGTTGTCGAGCTTTCTCGATGAGACCTTTGCGTCGTTTGGAGAAAGTAACTTGTCGACTGCTTTTGTTCTCGATTCGCTCGATCTCGACCTTTCTTCTTCCCATGGCTTCTTTCTCCGATAAGGCTTATGCCCTAATTTGATTCTAATCACCGGAGACCCACAATGTTTTTGCTTCTTTTTATTCTTTTCTTTTTCTTCGTTTCTCTCTTCTTCTTCTTCTACTTCTTTTTTTCGGTCTTTTCTAATAAGTGAAAAAATCCAAGTCACTTTAGTTTTTTTTTTGTTAAACGAGAGAGAGAAAATAATAATAATAAGTGGAAACGGTTGCGTTCTGAAGAGGCATGTAATTTTGTGTTTTTTTTTACGCTTGTTGAAATTCCTTGCGGGCGCGTTGTAAAAATTAATCCTTTAAGCCAGTCGGTTAGACCGGGTCCGATCATCATCCCCACCGAACAGAAGTTGGGTTTTTTTCTTTTTTTGCCGGCAGTTTTAGATTGTTTTGTTTCATATGTTTTAATGATATTAACAACTAGCAAGTTAAGGTTATCCATTTCGGATACATAGGTAGTGTTGGTGATTGGTTGATATGAATCGGGTACGGTTAATTTAAAGATTTCAATTCTTCTTTGACGTAAGCTTTTGATAGAGGGCTGGATTACTATTCAAACTAGGCCTGGGCATTCGGTTTCAATTCGGTTGTGTTCGGTTTCAGTTCGGTTTGGATATGACCATTCGGATATTTTAGGAATTTCGGTTCGGTTCGATTTAGATATTTAAATAGATACCCGTAACTAACTAAACATTTATCACATTCGGTTTGGTTCGGATTTGTACCCAAAATAACCAAAATTTACCGAATATAACCGAAATTAACCGAAAAAAATACAAAAATAAAATACAAAAAAAAGAAAAAATGTTAGAAAAAAAATTAAAATTTGATTCAATTTTGTAAAGAATATTTAACTTTGATAAATATAACAAACAATATTTGGATATTTTGATTATTTAAAGTATTTGATTGTTTTGATTCTAAAAATAATTAATATTTTGAGTTTATAATTATAGTTTTGGATATTATTTTTGGGTATCTTCTGGGTTTTTGAATATTTCGGTTAACTGTTTGGTTATCGGTTTGGTTCGGTTCAATTTCGGTTAGTTTGGATATGGAATTTTACTAACCATTCGGTTATTTTAAAAACTTTGGTTCGGATATGGTTCGGTTTTTTTTTGTTTGGTTCGGTTCAGTTGGTTATTTCGTTAGCGGTTTTTTGGCCCAGGCCTAATTCAAACTTTCTCTGTATTAGATAAAAATTTCAATTTTTTTGTTGAGGACAAATTAATTATATTGTATCATAAGAATACTACATTATATACATGGTATATGAAATCATTCAAATACAACTATTAAAACAAATAAAAGAAATTAAATACAATTTTCATGAAGAAATTTTTTTTCCTTTTTTGAAAAATCAGTTAAAAAGAATTCCTAGAAAAAAAAAACAGAATTATCTGACATCATCACTCTGATATAAATTCTCTCATTTAAAAAAATTAAAAATTAGCAGCTAAATTCATTACTAAGAAAAATGCTCTAACTTTGCAAGTAACACCTAGAAATTTGTTTTACATTTCTTTTTATTTTATAGGTGATACTAAATATTACTAAGATTAAATCTCCATTTTCTAAGCATGGTTTTATTTTTGAAATTTTTTCAATTTAAATTATGGATTTCACTCAAAATTTAGCATCCATCCTGTGTAGGAAACTTTCTTACATTTATTTTTCTGCAGATACAATAATTTTAGAGAAAATCAGACTTTAAGAGCATGTTTTACCATGGGTTTTCCATCAAAATTATGTAGTAACCTGACAATGATAGTTTTATGATGTTCGTAAATAAATATCTTAGAGTCGTCGAAATGATGACATTCCGTTCATGACTTATCATTGTCCTGATCCTCGGTTTATTTGGATTCCGGTTGTAATTTAAATAAAATGAATCTAAAGCCGAACCAAAATTCTAAGTAACAGTTGCAAATGAAACAAAAATCTAAGTAACAGTTGCAAATGAAACAAAAATGAAGAAAGTGTTACAACTTGTAATGGGCCATCAAATTTATATTAACAGCCGAGAAAAAAATCATGAATCACATGCAATATTAAATTTTTTTTTTGGTAGGAACATGCAATATTAAATTTTGTAAAAATCAAAGGTATGTTTTTTTTTTTTTTTTTTTTGGACAAAATCAAAGGTAAGATAAAAATAAAATCCTTATTTGAAAAAAAAAGAAGCAAGAAACAAAAACCAAGAACATATCTTGGCCACCACAATATTTAATCTCAAATTAGGTTTAAGCTAAAGTACAGCTCTCTTCATACAGAGAAAAGGAGGAGATCTCAGTTGATTTGAAGGAAACAAAAAAGCCCTAGATTTGAAGTTTCTATAAGAGAGAAAAAAAAAAGCACAAAAATAGAGTGAGACAGGTAGGGGAAAATAGCTTACTTGACTGCTTTTGTTCTCGATTCGCTTGATCTCGACTTTTCTTCTTCCCATGGCTTCTTTCTCCGATAAGGATAATGCCCTAATTTGATCCTAATCACCGGAGGAGGAGACCCACAATGTCTTTGCTACTTTTTATTCTTCTTTTTTGCTTCGTTTCTCTCTCTCTCTCTCTTTTTTTTTTTTTTTTGAACTAGACAAATGACAAATCCAAGTCACTTTGTTTTTGTTTTGTTAAACGAGAGAGAGAAAATAATAAGTGGAAACGGTTGCGTTTTTGAAGCGACGAAGAGGCACATAATTTAATAATGGAGTAACATGTAACAAAAAATAAATAAAGAGCATACGATAAGAAAAGAGCATGACCATCATATCACTATCTTACTTACTTACTTTTCTCCATTATTGGGCTTGGAGAAAGTGACTTGTCGACTGCTTTTGTTCTCGATTCGCTCGATCTCGACTTTTCTTCTTCCCATGGCTTCTTTCTCCGATAAGGATAACGCCCTAATATGATCCTAATCACTGGAGGAGGAGACCCACAATGTCTTTGCTTCTTTTTATTCTTTTTTTTTTCTTCGTTTCTCTCTTCTCTTCTTTTTTCGGTTTTTTCTTTTGGGCTAGACAAATGAAAAAATCCAAGTCACTTTAGTTTTTTTTTTGTTAAACGAGAGAGAGAAAATAATACTAATAATAAGTGGAAACGGTTGCGTTCTGAAGCGGGCGCGTTGTTAAAATTAATCCTTTAATCCAGTCGGTTAGACCGGGTTCGGTCATCATCCCCACCGAACAAAAGTTGGTTTTAACTTTTAAGCGAGTTTTTTTTTTTTTTTTTTGCCGGCAGTTTTAGATTGTTTTGTTTCATATGTTTTGACTTTTGATGATACGTATTAAGAATTAAACAAGTTAAGGTTATCCATTGCGGATACATAGGTAGTGCTGGTGATTGGTCAATATGAATAGGGTACAGTTAATTCGGATATTTAGAAGATTACTATTCAAACTTTCTCTAATTTAGGTAAAAATTTCAATTTTTTTTTAATGGCCAATTAGTTATATTATATATCATAAAAATATTTCATTCTCCTATTTTTACTTTTATCTCTATAATAGAGGTGAGTTTCTTCTATTTTTACTCTAATATGTTCTTCTATTTCTTTTTCTAAAAGAATTTAATTCTATTTATAGAGGAAAAATAGAGATCCTCTATATATAGCGGAAAAAAATATAAATCTTTATTTTATAAGTGAGAATAGAAGTGGGTTAGAGATGGGTTGGAGATGCTATTACAAATAACAGATGAACTATGTTAAATCTTCTTTTTATACACTTAGAAAATGCTAACATTTTATAGATGAAACTCCAAATGCTTTCCGCATCACTTTAGCTAAACGAACACACTGATATGTTATTTAAAATGGTTCTGGATCATGTTTTTTGTAATGCTTTATCCATCGTTGCCGGTTAATGACCATGATTTCTTTTTTCATAGAACCTGAATAATATGATCGAGGGACAACAAGAACAAACCAACATCGGAACATATCCTTGGAAAGAGAAAGATATCGTGGAAGCCAATTCCTTCGATCGAAAATATTTATTTGTTGATTCTCGGATCAAATACCCAGATAACTTCTCTAAAACCATATATTAGAAGAAAATTCATCGGTTTAGAACCGAAGATGACGCTAGTAAAAAGACCACCAGAAACAAACTTTATATAAAGGAATATATTCCGATTCAAACGAATCGACATAACACGGAACGAGAGACATCAGTGGGATGAATCTTCTGATTTTGAATCTGGCAACGGTTTTACATAACACCTGTAATTGTTTGTCTCTGTTGTATATATGATCACAAACGTTGTCACCATCCAAAATGAGAAAATAGCTCGAAAAGAAATCGATTAGAGAGAGTCTCTCCCATACAATTATTAAAACTGAATAATGAAAAACTAGAAATTAAAAAGGGAAATAAACCGCCGTCATTTTCAAACAGAAAACTGGGTTTATAAAATCGCATTTGTTTCGCTAAGAGAGAGGAAATGTTTCCCTTTAATCATATATGTAGTAAGTTGTCAAAAGAACCCAAAAAAAAATGGAAAGAGTTTTGTTCAAAGTTCAAACATTCAAGAAATTATATATTGCTAGCTTTGAGTAATTCATAATAAATATCTAATGTTGGGGATAGTAACCAATCGTACTAAAACACGTAAAACCTCGAGTCTAAGAATAATTAGGCGGAGGCTCATTTTCCGCAACAACATATCAAACGAGTCAGAAGATCTATAGAGATTCAAGAACAAAAGAAACAAGCATATTATGTACAAATGCTGATTTAGGCCTCGGCAAAATATCCAACCCGAAGTGGTATCAAACCGAAATCACGGTTTGGATCAGTTTTCAGTTTTTTCAAAATATATCTATTGGATCTCCGCTTCAATTACTCTCGGGTGCCTGTTCGGTTTGGTTAATACCCGAGAACCGATTAGTACCCGAATATGTCTAAACCTAAGTATACATATTTCCCCCTATAGTAACCTAAACATAACCTAAACATATGTTTACCAGTTCATCTTCCCTTCTGAGGTAATCGAGAGAAAAAACTATTAAGTTCTATAGCCCTAATCTCACAATCTGTAATCTCTAAACTTCTTCTATTCCTCGTCTCTTTTTTACAGAGACGTCCAAGAATCAATCATTCACAGGCAAGCCTAATACTTCTTCTTGTCTGTTGTTAATCGTTTCTTGTTTGTATATGTCAAACTTTCAATTTGTCTATCTCCTTCGAATTTAGAGAAACAAAAAAAATAGAGAGCTTTATTATGTTTTTTCAGTCTTATCATATGACAATATTCTTCTCGTGACTTATCATTGTCTGGATCTTCGTCTTATTTTAGTTTCGGTTGTGACCCTGAAAATGATCGATAAACTCGTTTTGATTGGACACAAATAACCCAACCGAACCAAAAATAAAATTGATAATTCAAAACTCGAAGCCAAACCAAATTCAAACCAATCAAAAACTCAAGAGCGGGCAATTGCAATACACGTGCCCCCTTCCTCTCCCAAATTAAGAGACTGCGAAAAACCTAAAATCAAAATTTTGATCTGCCCACTCCGGCGACGGTGCTCCTCACCGGTTGCCGGAGAGGGCCACTCTCTCTTCTCCTTTTCTCTTGTTGTCTTTTCCGTGCTGCCTTTGTCGCTCCGGTGGAGATCTGTCCATGGCTGGATTTTTGTTCTTGATGGTGGTGAAGCGGCGAGAGGTCTCGCTTCTCGCACGGTGCAAAGAAAAGTTTGCTAATGTCTCCCGACGAGCTCTTGATTCCAGTGCTTGAGGACGGTGCTGTTTCAGAGTTCTTCTCCGGTGAGTGTGGCTTCAACTCTGTCCTCATGCAGCGTGATTATAGTCGGTTCTGGTGTTGGCTCAGGTGAGGCTTTTGTTCAGCGGTTTAGCCCCTCGCGGCGGGACCATTCTTCCGATCTGAGATACCGATGGTGCATCGCCGTGTTCTTCAGTCATCGCCGTTGTTCCTTTTGTGGTTTGGGCTCACCGGTTTGTCTTGGCGAGACGGTTTTTCTCTTCTCGGTCTCTCTATCTTCTTTTTCTCCAGCACCGACGGTGTCGTCTCTGGATAAGGCGGGTTTCTCTATTGGAGGCAAGCCTCAGGGTCACTTTGGTGCTCTAAGCTTGTTCGTTGCGGTTAGAGGCGTTGAGGATTCTGGTTTTGGTGGTCAAAGTGTCTCCTCCATTGGTGGGTTGTTGAAGGTGGTAGCTTCTTCAGCCATGGGTATGGCTTCTCTGTGTCCGTTTGTCTTCGTCCCCGTGGCTTCTTCTCCGGTTTGCTTTAAGGTAGAGTTTTATTGTTAAGGTGTTGTCGGGTTCTGTTCTTGTTGCTTTGGTTTGCTCTTGGAGCATTGGCTAGTTTTGTCGAGTGTTGAATAGAGGCGGCGATTAGGTCTAAGTGGCGTCGCTATCTCGTCACTGTTTTAGTTTTTGGAGATGATGTAGGCTTCTATCTTGAGGTTTTGAGGATGAGCCTTAAATAGATATGCTCGTGGCAACTACAATGAGGATTCCAGTTCTTCGGTTATGTGGCAACCACACAAATTTCCGAGCTTCGCGGGCTCGGAATTAGTGTTTCTCCTCTTGCATCTTGGCCTTGACCGCTTAGCAGTGATCTTTTGCAACTTGAGTTATAATGTTGTTTTTAAATTTCTGTAGATTGCTTTAATCTGTTTCAAGTTTTCCCTGTAAAACTGTTAAAAATAAAAAAAGGTATAAAATTTCATTTTTACCCCAAAAAAAAAAAAATCAAACCAATCCAAATTTAAGTGTGTTTTCCAAAACTCAAAAAATCGAACCAAGTTAAACCGAAATATATTATGTTATTTATCAGTAACAGTTGCAAATGAAACAAAAATGAAGAAAAAGTTGCAACTTCTGATAGGCCATAAAATTTAAATTATGGGCCTCAATGGGCCTAAGCTGGACGCAGTCCTAACAGCCGAGACAAATCATTTTCTGCCATATTCTTTCTGGAAGAATTATTTTTGGAGTTCCTCAAAAGTAGAATTGATAAACTTGGAAAAAGGAAAAAATATCCGATATTGTTGAATCATATAAAACTAAATAACTATGCTACGTAACGTACAAATAATCAAATAACTAACAATTAAAAAATCTATATATACATTTTTGAATGACTTTTAGCAAATAAATCCTGGAGTTGGACCTTATTTACGGATGAATGCCATTGGCATTAATTATTTAAATTTGAAAAATATTACTTAAAGATATTACCAATACGATTTTGAGAATCATAAATTCATATCTTCCTTAATTTTCTGAGTCATTAATGTGATAATCTTTAGGAAATATTTCTCTGTAAAAAAAAAAAATCCACATTAATGAAGGCATTAAAATCGACACTAACAATTAAATTATTTAGATGTTCAATTATTTTAAGATTCTTATATCTTATTTGATATATTTTTTTTAATATCTCATTCTTTAATTACTGCGTTTAGAATTTATTGGTTGTTACCTATTTTTTGGTGAAATTTATTGGTTGTTACTTAATAAGTAATTATGGTGCGTTTATTTTAGTTAATATCTAATTTAAAGGATTTGTTTTTTTTTATTATTAATAAATGAATAACATGTATAGAAATAAAAGATTTTTTTTGCGACTCCATAATAAAAATATTAAACTCTTATTTTCTACATTTCTTACACATAATATCCTCTTATTCAATAACAAAAAATATATATTACATATTTTTAAAAATATTTATAATATTTAAATTATATAAAAAATTTGTAATATTAATATTATTTCAACTCTATACAAATTTAATATATATGTATATATATCTTATGGGAACCATTTAAAAGAAATTTTTAAATTGACTTGAATTATATAGCTTTTAAATAAAAGTATTATTAAAAAGAAAAATAACTAAATAATGTTTAATTTCACGGGACGGGTAATATGATGGGACGGG